TAAAAGCCTCGTTATAATATTTGGGATCAGGGTGCTGTGATGATGTTATTTTCAAATCTAGCATGGGAGGTTCGATTTCTTGTAAATTAATACTTTAGTACATGAATGTTAGCTTTTAATGTTTTGTATTGGGAGGTTTGACTTAAAGTTGCAAGTAAGAACAAATAGCAGAAAAGAAAACTCAAGCACAATATTTATTAGAATTTTTTAAAGTGAAGAATGATAAATTATGCCAATGGACTGACTTCTATTTCTCAGTTTAGTTTCTTTTAAGTAGATGTGAAATAAAAAAAAATTACTTACCAAAATAAGGATATTGAGCTAAAAGAAAAAGTTTTATTTATTTTTCTCTCTGCCAAAATATACTACTGCCTCACAGCATATATTTTTCATAAGGCTATCTTAAGTATAAGGCTGGGTCAACTGAACTTTGAATTTATAGGATACCTCCTCTTATTACTATCCTTATTTAAAAATCAAAACATTTGGTACCTGAGGATAGCTGCAATGGGAGGAAGAAAGAGATGACAGTGGATTCAGGTCTTGAACTATGAATTCTACCTATTTGAGACTATCAAAGCACACTTGTTTCTATTATACCTCTAAATCTCTTTTCTGCAGTTTTAAAAAGTGACAGTATGAAGTGCACAAAATAATATGAATCATTATTTAAAAAAAGAAAATAAGAATTGCTTTGCCTCTTTTTGGAATGGCTAAGAAAGACTGTGTGGTTAATATTCATTAAGGTTCCTCTTTTTTAGTATTTTGTATTGCTTTGAAAAATCTACATTTGTCATAGTTCATAGCTGCCCTGTTTAAGCAGCCAAGAATAGTTAAAATCACTGCTCACTGGCATAACTAAATCTCCACTAAGCTGACTTGACACAGTTTAAAATTTTCAGTGTATTAAGATTGTGTTAATCCTTTCAACAACAGTCTCTCAAATCGTGACAATGTCTTCATGGGGTCTATGGACCACTCTTCCAGTGGTGGGACTCAAAAAGAACAAAGGAGCTCTTTGTGCATCAGGTTCTCAAAATAAAGGAATGAAGAAGCCCCAATGCATATTTTAATATTTTAGTTGGCAATGCAAACGGAACAGCATTCCTAAAGAGGAGTGGCCATGTTTCTTGAAAGAGATAGCCAGGCTGGAGCTCAAGAATGATTATAAAGAGAATTTCCAGCTACAATGCACCCCAGTGAGGGAATTACAAAACAGTATTCCAGAAAATATTTTTTTGCTACTCCAGTATTGATTGGCAACATGGTGAAATAGTCAAGAAATCTTCCACTGGTTTTCTTGGTTAATGGAGGTGAATCTGAAATAAGTAGGTGGAATCCCCGATGCAGGCTTTTGGAAGAGTATTTCACAACCCAATTGGAGAGGAAAATCTCTGGTAGAAGCCCTACGTAGTACATTAGCGCAGCACTCACTATCCAGTCGTGTGTTATGCATGGGACACATTCACAACGCCTCAGTAAATACTGGACCCAAGTTACTGCTTTTCAAGGTCTTTACAGGAAAGAAAAAACAAAAAGAAAGAAAAAAGAAAGAGAAAAGTTGATGTTTTGGTCCCAGATTTTGAGTTTGTTAGAAAATGTACATTCATGTTTGGTGAATCAAAGACTCTTCTGGGAAAAGAATTAAAGTAAACAAATAAAACTTTTTACAGTTGCTTATTAACTATGCTCTTCACCCTCTGTTACGCTGTTTCACACGCACTGCTTTCCTAGAGCAAAGCACTTGGTATGGAACTGTTTGAACAGACGCCTTGTCAGCCCTCAAAGATATCAGCCGTGTTTCTTAAAAGCCCATGTTTTCTAAGGCCACTAGAAGAAAATCTGCCAAAAGATTTGTCGTCGGTGTCTTCGTCGGTTGTCGTGAGATAGCACTATGGATCTCGTGTTTCCATCAAGGGGTGCACTTGGCATCTTCCCCCTGGGCCGTAACCAGGCGACTATGCTTGCCACTGTGTGTGTGAACACGGGGAGCTCTGCTCCGCACGCGCAGGCCGGTGCGCTTTCCAGGGACATTCACAACGACGAGGAGCTCTGAGTGTAATCTCTTATGATAAGAGTGTCATATTTGGGAGACGACGGGATACAGAGGGCCGACTCCGACACTGGCGAGTTGGGGGTTGTGCTCCCCGAGTCCACCGAGTCTCTGAAGGGGGACGGCGGGGTGAGAGCCACCAACTCCTCCAGGTCTGGCTTGGCGGCCGCAGCCTCGGGCCCCGCTGCCGGGCTCTCCCGGGCCGCGTCCCCAGCCGCCTGAGCCCCCGCCGCGGGCTGCGCGCCGCCCGTGACCTCGATGGCTGGCAGAGGCTGGATTTCGGCGAAGGTCGTCATGGTTGTGGGCAGCTGGATCTCTTTGGGGATCAGGTACGACGAGCAGAGCGGGGCGCCCACGCCGGGGCTGGGGGCCGCGGTGGACAGCATCATGGAGTTGAGCTCGCTGATGTTGGCCGTGAAGCGGGTGACCACACTGCTGATCTGCTCCATGAGGGAGCCCTGCGACGAGCTGCTGCGCGCAGCGGGCTCCGAATGCAGCGACGGCACGTCGTCGTCCGTGCGGCTGGCCGAGCCCGCGCGGTGGCTCAGCGTGCTGATGGGCGATGGTGAGCGCGGCTGCGTGGGCGCCGGGAAGTGCTCCTCGGTCTCGGCCACATCATACAGCCCCTTGGGGCTGGCGTCTGGGGGCTCGGGCCCGCCGGGGCCGGCGCCTGCGCAGCCCGCACCGCCCGTGGCCCCCATCCCCCCCGCGCTCCCGCCTGCGCCAGCGCCAGCGCCCAGGCCGCGGCTCTCCGTGCTCTTGGGGAAGGGCTTGATGACTGCCGTTTGGTTGGGATTTTCTTTCTTGTTGATGTGGATGGACAGGCGCTGCCACAGGTGCTGCCCCCGGCTGCTCTTCTCGTTCTGGGCCCACGTAACAGATTTTCCATTGGAGCTGAGGAGAGAAGGGAGAGGAAAGGTGACTCAGCGAGGTGTCCAAGGGGCTTGGATGCCGCTTCCCCAATGGTGGTTGCTCATGGGCCCCGAACTGGGGAGGACTTTTCTCATTCTTTCAGGAAACACAGCGTCAAAAAGACATCACGGAAAGAGACCTTGGAAGTGGCTTTCATTTGCTCGTTTTGAGTTAAAGGCTGCTTTCTGTATCAGGCCTTCAGTTTATCATTATCATGAAAATGTGTCAAAGGGGATGCTTGTCCCCTTTGGATGAAGGAGTGTTTATTAGGATTTTGCGGGAGTTCTGAGCCCACCTGTGAGTGCAGCAGCACACAGATGCAAGGGCTTGCAATGTCCCGGCTGTGTGCAGAAATGCCTGGTATAGGACAGGGGCTTCCTAGAGTTAGTGACCTCAAAGGGAAACATTACCACTAGGACCCAAACTCACCAACAATCATCGGAGAGGAGGGAAGGGGTAAGAGAGTCAGGGATTACAAGGAGGTGGACAGTGGTTCCAGTTCAGCCTTTATTCTGGAGGTTGGTGTATATATAACTAGGGTTTCCTGTCTGAACCCCTAATTTTGAACATAGTTTTACTTAGGTTGCCTTACCTGCTGGAAAATAAAAATTTAATGAACACACGTTTCTAATGAGAACTTCTTTACTTCATAGAAATTCACCTTACAAATTTATTTTGAGTTCTATACTTGAATAACAGTTCAATGAGAGTGCTGTATAATGCCTTCGGCACTTAGCAGAGTGATCTCCAATTAGGATCCTAGTGAATATTGTGGGACTAACAAGTTTTTTAAAGGCCTTTCTCCTTCTTTCACCTTTGTGCTTCCACACAAAGGGTCTGAAAGCCACACTCAAGATCTGATTGGTACCTCAGCTTCAGTGCCCTAGTACTCTCCTTACCACTAAAAGCTGACACAGTAGCTTCTGAAGCTGCAGACCTTGATTCAGGAACTTTACAAAGGTCAGAGAATGTGGCCTGACACTCAATAATTTATTTTTTAGTTTTTATTTTTTAGACGGAGTTTTGCTCTTGTTGCCCAGGCTGAAGTGCAGTGGCACCATCTCAGCTCACTGCAACCTTGGCCTCCTGGATTCAAGCGAATCTCCTGCCTCAGCCTCCCAAGTAGCAGGGATTATAGGCATGCACCACCATGCCCAGCTAATTTTGTATTTTCAGTAGAGACCGGGTTTCACCAGTTGGTAAGACTGTTCTAGAACTCCTGACCTCAAGTGATCAACCTGCTTTGGCCTCCTAAAGTGATGGGATTACAGTCGTGAGCCACTGCGCCTGGTCAGGAATGTTATATGAGGAGATTCTGGTGTAGTTTCCCATCACAAAGTAATCCAAGATCTCTGTTACTAGGGGGTCTGGTATTGTCAGTCAAGACAGCTCTGTTCTAGGGGCTGTGACCAACAGAGAGCCTTGAGCAGCCTGACAACAAAAGAAGTTGAAGACTGCAGTTTTATCATCATAGCCTATGCTTATTAAACTAAATTCTGCATAAGACTCACCTATGGCATTTGTCAAAGATATAAGATGTGACCCCAGGAGAGTCTGATTGTCTGGATTGGCTTCCATGGACCTATGCTTTTGACAAGCACTCTGTTCTTCTGCTCCCGAAGTATTTCTGAAGCACTTTGTTTCTCAGATTCTTTCAGAAACTGAGAAACTCTGGCAGAAAGCCATCCTTTTTTTCTAGATCCCCATCGCTCCCCTTGGTCCCCCTTACTGGAGGGCTGGCTTGCCTTTGAGGGGCCGGGGCCTGTACCTCATTTGGAATCCACCAGCCTTGAGGCTGCCTGACTGGCCCTGCAGGATCTACTCTGTCTGAGAAACCCACTCCCTTGGTAACAGTCTGACATTTCTGCAGCTCCTTTAATGACATGCTTTTTGCCTCTTTCCACACTGCTTCCCATTTCTTTATCTGTTCCTTTCTACTTCATGGTCTTTCTTTCTCCGCTCTTTCCTGTGAAATTTCTTTCCATGTAATCTATCCAACGTATTGTAGTCTCATGTCCTTCAGAATCTAGGAATATGAGCTACTTCCATCCTACCCTGCCCTTCCTGGAAAAGATAAATGAATCATTTCCAGGTTTGGAGGTTGCTGTGCATCCACAGTAGCAGAGGGGGCATTGCCGAACAGTTGGCGTTCCTTTCTAGTAGTTTCGGGGTTTATTATTCAATTTTGCATTAGCCTGACTTGCGTGTATTACATTTCTTTTTCCCAGGTGTCTACTAACTTCTGGAACATGGCAGAGAAGAAATGGGCCAGTTTATTTACAGGATTTGATTGGGAGGATGGTTGCCAACTACACCCTTTCTCCTAACAGAAGGATAAGAAACAGGTGTTTCGAAAGGTACAATTATTCTTCCAGGTCACTAAGTCCCCTTTTAATACAAAGCATGGGCTTGAAATCAGAAGACTAGCTGGATTTATTCCACCAACTTTTACCCTAGGGACACTCTTGCTCCTAGTACAGAGAGGTTTTGCAAACACTAGCTTTTAAAAGGTTTTTTTTTTTTCTCTCTCTCGAATGCCTTTAGTTGAACATGATGGAACATAACTTTGGGTGTTAGCAGTAACAGTCTTTGGAATCACCTGTAGCTATGACCCAAAACATGACAGCATGTTGCAAAACCTCTAGGTGAGTGTGTGATGAGGGAACCATCCTAATTAACCAATTCTGTACAAAGTATTGACATCTTTTTCCTGGCCGTGCCTTTGCTTACAGTGCCCATGGCCATAAGGGAGAAAGAGCACCAGACCATCTGAATAACAGTGAAAGTGGACACAGGAAACACCAGACAACCAGAGAAATGGAGTCCAAATGTGAGTATTTCATTTCATTCTTTTGAACATGAAATATTTTTTTTTCTCTGAAGTAAATGAGAATTCTTAAGAAACAAACAAACAAACAAAAACTCCCTACTCATGACATTATTCTGTTTATTAGTAGAATGTACATTCCGTGAAGACACAGATCTTATCTATCTTGTTCAGTGACACTCAGCATGATCTTAATAAGCATTTGATGGATGAATAGGATTTTTTAGTTAACAGGGCCACTGTGGGGTGTCTTGGAAGCTGCAATAGAATAGAGATCCTAAAATCCGGTTCTTATTCTGGTTCTGCCATCCTGGATATTTGGAAAGGAATAATCTTTTTAAGCCTCAGTGAGAAGCAGACAGTGTCTCATTTAGTTAAGGTTGTTTTGAGATGAAGTGAGACAATGTAGGTGAAAAAAGCTGGTAAAGAGAAGGTGTCTAAGGATGTTCAGTTTTTGTATTTTATGTGAATACAACATTTCAGAAAATAAAAGGTATACTCAATGCCATTTTGAACCCTGGTTTAAGGAACAGAGAATTCAGTGCAAAATAAAATATTTGGTAAGCCATAAAACCTTTCAGGTTCTTTTTCTTTTACCTGACCAACTGTAATAAATATTGGAGTTCCATGATCCGTGGCCTCTTTTCACACCCTAACTGTCTCCGTGGGTGATCACCTCTACCCCATTAAATTCCAAATTAACCTTCTTCCTCAAATGCTTTTGCATTGCGCTACATCCTCTCTTCCTTTTTGCTTAAGCCTATCCTCTTGTTTTCTTATTTTATTTTACCTTAATTGTCTTGTCTTAAAGAAAGCTTTCCTGACCTTGCTAGGCTAGATTCCTATGGTCCCTGCATTCAGGCATATAATAACTCTTTGCTATATGTCTATCTCACCTGCTTGGTGGGACATTATGAAGGCACAGACAGAGGGTTTGTTCTTTCCTATATGCCCAGTAGTACCCATGCATTGTTTAGAACATGGTAAGTGCTCAGTAATATTCTTGGGCCAATACTTGAGTAGATAAAATACAATTCATTTTTAAAATTTATACTGAATTGTTTTTCTGTTAGAATTAAGTTTTTAAAATAATTCAATGTTAATGAAACTATTTTGCCTTATGGATCTATTTTTACTTCTTATATACCTCCCTTTAATCAATAGTACTCAATATCTACATATTTAAAATTTTCATTAAATATGAAAATACAAAGCTTGATATCTGCCATGAAAATCGCAAAATAATTACTTCTTTAGAACTCATATCTGTCTTAGTGAAATTGCTCAGTGGTGAAATCTTATCAAGGCAGTAGTGACAGTGGAAAAGAGAAAGGACCCAGATTCTCAGTCTAGGATCTGACTCAGAATGATGTTGAGCAATTCACTTGCCACCTTTGAGCTTCTTTCTTTATTGGAAAAAAAAAAAAAAAAGAATAGAAAGAAAGAAACTGCCCACCTTGCATGATGTCTGGGAAAAAACAAAAGGATAATACATATGAGGGTACTTTATAGAGCATAGCCCTTCTGCAAATGCGAGGGGTTATTCATTAACATTAAATCTTCTATTTGGTTGAACTAAGATGATGTATTTATCGTTTAGGCTGAGATTTTTTTTCAGCATCCATATTATACGTTTGTCCTTAGGGACTGAAGTAAGAAAAATGAAAGGAAACTTTTCTTTACCCGTTTATGGCATGTCACCTTCCCTCACTGAATATTTTAGACATTAGAAAAGAAGAGGGAAAGAAGAATGGAGGAGAAAGGGACAAGATGAAATGATCTGCCACATCTGAGGAGGGGGCCAAAAGTAACTTCTCGCTCTCTTCCAGGCACCATTGAACCCTTTTGCAATATATAATATGATGTCATCTAATGTTCTCTCTGTTATAATTATTTGTTCTTTATTTCTGAAAAACAAAAAGCACATCAAAAATGTTATTTCAGGATTAAGTTTTTTGTTTATTTGTTTCATTCGTTTTTGTTTACATTTTGGGTCTGCCAAAATGGCACTTTCTATCTTTATTCTCAGAGGTTTATTTTTCCTCTTTTTCCCTTCCATATCAGACACTTAGCAAATTTATTCATTTTCAAGAAGGCTCTGAATGTCATGTCAGTGACCTCACCCAGTTTTCTATTCCTCTGCTCAAATCTGCAGATATTACAGTATTCTGCCATGGCACACCATCATTAGGAAGCAAACATTAATAAGGGGACAAAAGAGTTTGACCATCAAAAAAGTCTATGGAATTTATAATTCAATACAGGAATACAATGTTAATGTATTCACAAGTATGACAAAAATGAGGATGGAAAGGAATGTACTGATATGAAAACTACTGTGGAAAAAAAGACTTTTGGGTTTTTCTTATCAGGATTAGAAGAATTCAGAGAAAAAGTTGTTCACTAAGGAAAGAAGTTTCAAGGAAGGATTTGCAAATAAAGTGGGTATTAATGAGGCCTTAAAGTTTGGGGATGTTAAAATAGCATGGATAAGTGAATCTCAATTAATACATGTATTGCATATATGGAAAGGAAAGTAATTCTACATGCCTAATCCCATGAAACTCCTCCAACAGCCCTAAGTGACGTGGATTTTCACCTCTCTCTTAAGTAGCAGTGGTTGCATGTTTCCAGGATAATTCCTCCAGATAATCTCTCTTACCAGGCATTTAATCCCTAATAAATTCCTGGTGGGAGGAGAATCACTCAATCCTCTCTTAACTAGTCTTTGGTTTAACAGCAACAGGAAGCCTTTTCAGAAGCTACATGTTCTTTCACGGTGGGTTATTGAAGTGCTTAATGGTACTAGTACAGTTGCTACTTCCCCTGAGTCCTCCTAAAGAACAAGCACCTTAACAAAGGAGAATATGACACGGGAGCTTGTGCCAAGCATTGGAATTGTGTTGAGTCATCACAGATATTTCCTTCTCAAATCGAACTATTTATTTTGATCTGCAATTCTGTTACCTGGACTCAGCCTCAAAACTAAACTACTCTAACTGGTATTAATTGGTAAAGCCATACAAAATTATAGCTAGATAGGAGGAATGATCTCTGGTGTTCTACAGCACTGTAGGGTAAATATAGTTAACTGTGATTTATTGTATATTTTCAAGAAGCTAGAAGAAAGGATTTTGAATGTTCACAACACAAAGAAATGATAAATGTTTGTGGTGATCACTATGCTAATTACCCTGATTTTGTTATTACACTTGGGATACATGTAAGGAAACATTCCGTATCCTATAAATGTGTACAATTATTAAGTGTCAACTAAAAAAATAAAAAATCCCACTAAACTGCTCTTCATTCTGACATTTAAGTTCTAGGTCTTAGCTGAGATGCTTTAACAAAGATTAGAAAGAATTTTAGATTTTTGTACTTTTCTTTCAAAACAGGAAACAATTTTTCCAACAATTACTAGAAAGCTCAATTATAATCTAGTAAATAGAGAACAAAACCAGACACAGCTGTTTTGTGTCTAGAAGCTGCTGCAGTCAGGAAGACTTTGTGGAGGAATTCAGCTTCATTTAAACCTTGAATAAAACATGGAATTGGGATTGGTGGCAAAGAGGAGGAGAATCCTGGAATGATAATAGTTTCCATTTTAACAGAACTTTTCAGCTCACAAGGTGTTTTCACCTATGTCATCATATTTTACCTTCATAACAGCTGTCTAGGGTAGCGTTTATCAAATAGTATTTTTAATTACTTATTTACAAGTCTGTTCCCACACTAAACCTGGAGCATTCCAAGGGCAGATGCTACATGTATCTCCTGTGCTTAATATGGTGTATGGTACAGAGTAGTGCAGAGGAGTGTTAGTGAAATAAAGTGAACTATATGATCTTGAATGTTTGAGACAGACAGGTATTATTAACCTTCACTGTAGATATGAGAAAGGAGGCTTATGGAACTTAACTAAGTTGCCCAAGTCAAAGTAAATGGCAGGACAGTGCCCCAAATCAGACACCAAATCCAGAGTCATTCCCATTGTCTCTGTGCTGAGTGCCAAGATACACACGTGAACCAAGGGCCTAACAAGACATACCCTTGTGGAGCATCCAAGAAGGCAATGCCCCAGTTTTTTCCCATAAAATAACCTGATAAATTCTAAAGCTCTGCATCAACATTGATGAGATAAATCCTGAGGGACTGTAAGATAAAAGTTGTCCCAGGATGTTTAGAATGGTTTCTGGGAAAATAATTTCTGTTTAGGCAAAAGATTCCTTTCTGTCATAGAGCACCCCAGCTGAAGCTTGTGACTTAAATCTGATGTATGAAGGGTATGTTAGTTATGAGGCTTGAATCCTGGGTGCAGATTCACCACAATATGTTTATTGTCTGGTGAAGTCTCTTGGTTTAAGAAGGAAGTTTCTTGGTTATCATGTTTTTTTTTTTTTAATTGGATAAAATGGACACATGCCACAGATATAAGTCACTAATATCAGTCAGTTCTAGTCCCATTTCCTGTGGAATTCTTGGGATGCTGAGCACTATATCTTTGCACTATTAAAACAAATTTAAATCTACCATGGACACCATTATTTTGCTTAGTGTTAATCTTCTTGGTTCCTCACAGACAATAGAAATCTTTCCTTTCTCTGGACCCTTAGGAAGTTAATTGGGTACACAAACATACAGCTATTCCTGATTAATGTTTACTTTTTTCTTACAATTGTAATATATTGGCTTCTGTATAGACACACACACACACACACACACACACGTTTCTGATCCCCTCATTTAAATTCTTTTAATCTTTAAAAATATCTGTGCATATGTGTTGTCATATGCATGCTATTAAATTGACTACAAAATTGAGGATTAGAGAGATTCAAAGAACTTGTGTGGATAAAAGTCGAAAATACTTAAGGTATAAATATCTTGGTAAAGCCAAGATTTTTGATAAGTTACTGATTGTAGGAGAATGGAAGACAGTGTGTGTAAAAGTATAGTGTGCTTTGAAGGCATGTGAGACACGGTGGCAAAAAAAGTTTTTAAGAGTGATTAATAATAAATAATGTTTGTGTTGAAGAATCAATTCAAACTAACTCATTAAACATGAGATTAGATAAAATGATTAATTTAAAATTTCAGAGCACTCAGCTTTGCTGAGTTACTTGCGTCTACATTTCAATATTACCATTATACATAATGGGAATATGCCAATAAGATTAGTTGGACACAATTCCAAGATTTTATCCATATGTTTAGGTGAGACTAAATGTAGAAAGTGTCCCTTAAAATTCACTTCCCTTTCTAGAGCATACAAGTTTGTACTTGATGACTACATGTCAGGCTGTTCCCATTTTGGTTTGGCATTTTCCATTAGAAATGATTTTGATTTCCTTTTTCCTTTTTTACAGAAAATCATAAGCTAGCAAATCTATTGTTTCAAATAAAATATATGCATATATATTGTATATAACTACTGAATTATCTACAAAAACTATACATTTGTGCATGAATGTGTACATATAGATATGTGTGTGTACATATATATGTCTATTTACAAAATGTTTTTCACAGGCAAGGACAGCAGCCTCACACAAGGTTTTGACCAGCTCCTCCTTTTATTCAGTAAAAAGAGTATTAGATAAGAAGAGAATTGAGCAGAAACTGAGATGAGAGAATCATAGAATTCAAGTATTCCTGTTACATTTACGTATTACATTTTTTACAGGCTAAGAACAGAGACTGTTCAATTTAATAATAAAAATGTAGAATATGTTCAATTTAATATAAAAATAGAACATACTCTGAGTAGTTAGTGATTCTTTCAGAAAAATAAGCAAAGATAATTAGAAATCTGGTTAATATTTGTGGTACTTAATAAGGCTAGTAAATTTCTATTCCAGTCACCAAACATTAGCTAATTCTTTTAGTTTTTGCTGGTCTTATAGGGATTTATCTGGGAAAATGCTTATAATAAGATTTCAAGGATTATTATAAGGTACTCCTCATACATAATTTTCATGCTATGTTTTTTGATTAATTTTTTTATAAAATTAATTGGCAAATGGTATAGAAACTAAGAATGACAATAGATGGTTCATGAATAAATGGTTTCAGGGTCAAGTAAATTAAATTAAACTAATTTCTGATGAATTTGTCAACTTTTTGTGTAGCTATTCACTGAGAAGTTCCAAGAAGGGCATACGTGCGTATGTGTTGACTCCATTATTGTTAGCCATAACTTCGTCCCTGCTTCCCTCCAATCCTGACCACTGTCCAAATCTTGGCCTTATTTTTGGTACCACAGATTTAAAATGTTAATGTAGACTATTGCTCTTTCAGGTTCCATCAGAGTGAGTTTTATTTCTTTATTAAGATTGTCATTTCCTTTAGGGTGGAGATTATTTTATACTTCCCCAAACTCCCCATGGTCCCTAAAACAATGCTACCTACATACACAAAAATTATCCGGG